TACGCTAATGATGAATACGTTCCCTGAGATAATTTCTCCTATCACGATGCACGTGGCCGCGACTAACTTTCCGTATGTCGTAGGTTGTAATTTGAAACACACAACTCCGCACAGTACCGGAAAGACCCTCCCTCGATTTGCGGAGCAAATCGTTGTTATTACGTCCATTAGCGCAATCGAGGCGGCCTTTACGTGCCGTCATTACCGATCTTAACGCGACCGCTCCTCTTGTCACGTCGACATAATCTCTTTTCTCCCCCCCGTTTCTCAGTCTTTTTCCGTCTCTCTCCTTTCGCGCAAGCATGTATCGGCGGCGTTGCAACGGCGAGAGCAACTCTTCGAGCCGTTCCATAAGATGAGACGAGGGCAAGGACAAGGCCAAGTTTGTGAGCGGATCATCACACTTTCCATCTGCATTCCCTCCGGCTTATGTACTTCTCAGCTAGATCTTTTCAAGTAACCACAGATTGCTTCGCAATTCTACTGTAATCGAGACCTTTTATTTTTTGAATTTCACGAAAAAATTTCACTAAAAAATACATTATTAAATCTACAGAAATTTTTTTAATTTGAATGGCAATAAAATCTAGATTAATGTAAGAATTTTGACTTAATAAGTAATAAGAACTTTAGATAAAGAAAAAATAAATATTATATATATAACTATTTTTTGTATAATTGTTGCAAACAGATCTAATAATAAAATTCTTACATATATACACTCAGGTTAGTAATTTTTTGTAAATTAGTTTCTTAAATGAAACAGTATACATTAATTGAATTAAGCGAACCAAGCTTGCGAAGATCCTATGTACATTTTTTGCTTGCAAAACGAGGTCGAAGGACTGCGATCAAGATGCGACATTAAGCGTACTCGACTCGATACCGTCGCATCATAAGCCGACTGATGCTGGCATTTTATTTGAACTTTCACAAGACGGATCGCAATCTCGGTCTAGTGACTCCCACGGTAAATATCAATAACATGCATATATGGTGAGAAGAAAATCCGATCCTTCTGAAGCGTTCGAGGCGGATAATGACGCGAGATCTTTCTCATTCGTGATTTTTTGCAACTTGTAGCGCAATCGTCGGAAACATATCTCTTCTTCACGCAGGTGTTAATCACTTCACACTTTCGTTCTCGCTGATACGATGAATCAATAGTTCCGTAAATATGAGAGCTCGCATAGATCCTTATCCTTCACACAATTTGGCACGCGAGCACTTAACTGCTCGAAAGTGCACTTTTATTTATCACGCAATTCCGTGATTCCGCTCTCACTTCCTCGCGCATTGCATTGTCCGTTTGTAAACGTTACTTTTGCATCTTCTTATCTTTAAGATCACACTGAAGAAATCACTATCGTAATTAATCCGTTAAAAAAATGATAGTATTATCCAAGATTTGTATACAATTTTATTTAAAATAAATTAAAATAAAAATTTTAAATGTTACTTTGTTCACATTTACTTTTCCAGAAACAACACGAACACCCGTTACGTGCGCTTCAAATTCTGCGATATCTTACTACTGCGGTGTCTTACGTGTCTTGTTTGACATTTAGTTGAATTAACTACTGGGAGATCATTAATTATGCTCGCTTCGACCGTCGCTCCTGATTTCGTAGAAGACGTCGATGTACCCGCAAACGATAATGCTTTATTGCCTGGAAAGTATCAATGAACGAAAACACAATCGCTAATAATTGTGAAATTTTGTATAATATCACGAATTCTTGCTCTGTCTTGTATTATTGCTCACAACTTTTTTCAAAAATGTTTTTAAACGGTACATGTAGTCTTGAAACACTTCCTCTGACGCTGAAAGGATGGTCCAATTTCATTCAGATATCAAAAGCAGTCCAAATAAAACAAAATAAAATATATGGAAAAAGGAACTGTCTGTTCTGAGTTGTAAAAAACTGAGTTGGTTGAAAGGCGGTTCCGTTCAGTTAAAGCTGTTAAAGTAACATAAGATAATTAATGGGGGCGGATACCGACGTCTCTGAAGGGTCTTGCCAGGCGTGAACTTAATCACACGCCACAAATGTGCATTATTATGCAGGGTGTCAAATTGCGTGAAAGAAAAGCAAAGAGATGTGAAGTGATCGAAGAAAGTGCGACTGACCGGACACGCGAGATCGCGTGCCAATCAACCGAAAATGAGCTGTAACTTCTGTTTCGATACTAGAAAGGCAACGTTAAATCTTTGACTGCAAATGACGTTTCTTTTGTAAGATTGTAAATTGAATATATTGAATATAAGTATTGTATGAAATAAAGAAAATAGTATGCTTTATTAACGCAATACAGAATGAAACAGAAAGAAATTTGACATTGACAGGATAAGTATTTACATTCAGAGAAGAAATGAATGGACTTTTAAATCTTTCAACTACTACGATTTAAGAAAATTATAACAATCTTTATAGCTTACAGGTGTAAATTAAACAAGCAAAATAGAAGAGTAAGCAATTCATGCATAATATATAAATTGCTGCTGGTGTAAACACGAAAATTGCAAAGAGCACGGTACAGAGAAATATGCGATGCTCAGAGTTTATCTCTCAATTGTCGAATTTGATGGGTTTTCTCTGAATGCTTTCACCGATTTTTCTAATTCTTCTGGCGCAAACATAAAAAAAAGAAATCAATGCCAATCACCAAAGCACGCGGAAGAGAAAATTATGTAAATTACACGTTGTGCCGTGTTTGTTTTTTGTGTCATTACACGAGTTCGACGTCAAGTTAGATGATCAATACTCTCGCGAAAGCTCGAATTATAGTAGAATACATATAATTAACTCGAAAGTAACGTTTTTCGTGTCGAAATTTAGATAGTTAATTTCAGTAGAAACGATCGAGACGTTTGCGTTTCGCGACATTTGCTACGGAGAACCTGCAACTTCTCGACGTTCTGCTTTGGTACGTCTATATTCATAATCCGACCAGCTCTACGATATTATATAAAAGCGAATATATCAAAATGTAGAATATCAGTTGACGGAGCGCGCAGAAGTCGCTCGTTACGTCAGCAGCGATTATATGGACAATCGCGAGAGCATCGGTCTTGCCTCAGGATGTACCGTTACTCGGAAACCGGTCGAACAATCGTGGCAGGCGGTAAAAATAGCAGTGTGGCGAATTAATTGCCGCGCGAAAGGAGCGGCGGGGCAGCGTGAAAGCGTGATTTTGTCTTACTTAATTCATTGTTTTTTTTTCCTTGCACAACTGTGACTTACGACTAAATCGTCTTACAACAACGCCGTCACCCATCCCGCCCGGTATAATAAACAGCCAAGTCGCGAGGGCTAGTCGTTACACGCCCGCATTATGCACTCGCTCTAAATGACGCGACCGAGCTAGCACGACGTTGCTTCATCGCCGCATTGTCATCGTCACGGCGAGCATCCATGTGACGGTTCCTACCGGGCGCGCAAGTGGATTTTTCACGGCAAAGATTCAGAAATCTCTTTTGTCTCAGACTTTCTTCAATAAAAACTTCTTTTTAACGAAACACGAATATTTAAAAAAAATATTCTAAGAAACCTGACCCTTCGTACGTACTAAAAAATTCAGCGCAGAATTTTTGATTGAAACACACAATGTAATTTATTTATTTTCTTAATATAAATTAAATTCATAGTTTTATGTACTGTTTATTTGTTAAAATTAAAATATCGTATTAAAATACTCTATTAAAATATATATGCATTATAAAATTTGTACATGTTACCTTACTGTCTTTGAGCAACACACATAAAATCGTGACTCGAAAATATATTTTTAAATCCAAGTGCGTAATGAGATTTACAGCATGTTTTTCTGTTTCCATTATTGTTTAGCAAATATTAAGTGCAAAATGAATTTTTTTGCAATCTTGTATCATACGGAAATGTATCATACACCTATAAAACGTATAATCAACGTGAAAGCATCAATCAATAAATAATGTTCTCGACAATACAGACTCTCGCGGATTACAGACTCTCCCAGGCGATAACTGGCGGATGAAAAATTCTTATATGGACAAACAGGCATGACTTACGGAACTGGACCATAGTAAATCGTTATTTTGTCGACTGGCGGATAAATTTCGTAGAATCGGCGTGCGGCAAAATAGCGAAATGCAACACGGTGGTGCTGCGCACCATGACTTTTATCGGAGTATAAATCATTCGGCAGTCGGAATGGTATTTCTCGCGGTGCGTTACGGCCGGAAAACTCCGACTTCGACGTCTATCAGATCGACGTCGATCCAACTCGATCGGACAGATCGCAGGAACTCGTAATTCAATACGTGCCCCGTTACATCACTCGCCGTGTAACACGTAACGATTCTGATGGGAAAAAATTAACTAGCGCACGGCGCGCATTTGTAGTATTTGTACCCCGATGCAATTTTGCAGGGTCCGAAACGCGACCGATCGCAGAATTAATCGCTCACATTAAGTCGTCTACGTAATCACAGAATGAATCAGAGTAGAACAGTCCAGGAGTGATTTATGTCATTGAAAACAGACAAACAATTATAAATATAAAAAGATTCCAATAATTAACGAAAAAATAATTTATATAACATTTTGAATAGATTTGGATTTCTGAAATGTAATTTCTTTTGAAATTAAAGACTTCAAATATCTTGAAATAATTTGAATTAAAATGTAGTTTTGTTACTTTTATATTATTATAAAAGCTTTTTTGGTCACACACAAAACTAATTCTCAATCATACTTATCTGATCCCGAATTCGCTGCAAACGAATAATTTTCAAAAATTTTATTAAATTATTTTAATATTCTTTTATTGGCTTATAACTTTTTATTTTAATCTATTGTGTATATAATATGCTAGTGATGTGTATTCAAGGATGTTGCAGAAATTTTCTGCGGTTATCTCGGTAACAATCTCAAAGAGACGCTGCAAATCATTACACTGAAAGAAAGCAATTCGATAAAAAGTAAGAAAATAGTTTCGCTTGAGTATAAGAACGGGAGATGTTGGTGCCACCGCAAAGAAGCGACACAAAGTTGTGTTACGGTAATAATCACGCTGAACTTGTTGCAAAAACGCCATTTTCCTTTCCTGGCGACAAAGATTGTAAATTTACATTGATTTTTCACATAGATACCTAATATTTGATTCCAATACAATTTTTTTATTTTTGGCCAAATTAAAAATGTAAAATTTATATGAAATAAATGTAAAATCTGATTTAAAAGAAAATTTTATATTCAATATTTTAAGATATTGCTTAATTAAAATTAATGTAACATTAATTATTGTAATGTAAAAATCGGGCAATAATTCTAGATCTACATCATGTAAACTAGAATGTTGTTGAATTGTACTTATCCGATCGAGCATTTACGATCAATCGGTAAAACATCATATCTGTAAAATCCCACGAGATAGATCTGAAGATCTTACAACAGACAATGGTAGCTGATCTTTACTAATAGCGCATTCTATCGCATTGCAGTATGCCTTTGCTGACGTCAAACGTGACTTACAATACACGAATAGTTTTCTCTTTCTTTTTGATTCATGGAATTCTGTGTCGAAGAAGCTAATCTGATCTGTTATGCAATGACGAAATTAATAAAGGTACTTTCTGAAAATAGCAATATCCGATAACGATCATCCAATTACATACAAATACATAGAAATTTCAATCTCAGATATTTAAGTCTCGGATATTGATACTATTAAAAAAAGTTGGATTGGAAGTACAAAATAAAATTTTTTAGAATTTCTTAATTTCTCATAAATTTTAAAGAAATATGCTTGTTTACGAAAAGTGGAAGTTAGACTCAATGCAAAGATATATATAGTTACAGTTTAATATACACTTTAGTTACAATCGATAAAAATAAAAATATGTAAAGCCTGTGAAGGTTTTATAATATTGCAAGTACAAATCACTTAATTTGCGACTAAGAAGACGCGTAGGATCTCTTAAATTACAATCGGAATATACCTCTCTAAACAAGAATGCCGTTTTATATCTGCGCAGGAATGTCAGGACTTCATCGAACTTTCACGTCTTGTATTCAAGTGCACTTATTAGACCTAATCTAAATCTGACAGTATTGCGAAAAAGGTAGCTTTCTACTCTACTCGAAAATCATTTCCGCTCTCCGGACGATATTCTGATTTTCTGAGCTACGACCCAATTGTCCGCGAATGTAATAAGTATGTACAAACATTGCGGGACTGCAAATCGCGATGGAAAGTTTTAGAAGATTTTGCAGAATATCAATTTACATCGAAAATGTTCGATTTGAGTGTTTCGATTTCGATGTATACGTAGCTATTCATGAATTGTTGCAAATTGAAAGAAATTCTATTAAACGTGATACGTAACGAGTTGAATTACTGTAGTCAAACTTTTCCTGCTTCTTCTGCATCGTATTCTCACACGACTAATCAATTCCGGAATAGAAACAGAAAGACAGCTCGTAATGATAGAGTTACGCCACCGTTCGTAACTTACGACAAAATAATGATATATCACACGCTGGTCGTACAAAAATTCGCGAGTAACAAGGGACTACTATTTCGCAAGTTGGAAATCCAGTGTGTTTACGAATAGAAGAATAAATGCCTAGACACGAGTTCTGTTTTATATCTTTTATGGCTTCCCATTTAAAATTTTCTTGTGGAAAGCTATTTTCTATTGCAATTGAATTAATCTGTGAAACGGAAAGCTAACAAGACTTTGCGTTTTGCGCAAGTTATTACTAAATTAAGAAGAATGAAATTTCTTAGAAACAATATTCTGCAATATTCTGTAAATAACTCGAATGCATAACGTTAAGAAAATATATAAAAAATATTAATGATGTTTATTTTTTCTGAAATTTGATAAAACTGCATTTTGTCTGTTTTCAATCTCACTATACGTCAAAGTAATTAAAGATTAAGTTTGAATAATCCTATGAGAACGACATAAGCTCACACACACATAACTTTTGCGTGTATTAATTAACATTTCATATGTAAAATGCATGTTAACTATTCTTAAAATGTACCTTGCTTAAATAGACCTGCTTCTTGCATTGATTACATTTTAATCTAATATTTCTTATTGTTTCTTCTTTAATTGAATACTAGCTATATCTCTCTCGAATTTTTATTCGAATGTCGTATATTAGTTCCAGATCAAGTAACAGCGGCTCAGTCAGTGTCGTCCTTCTGGAGTCCCCTCAAATCAACCAATATCTTCTCTCAAGACAACCGCGGGACTTTCTTCCCTACGGCCCATGGCCTGGTGCAAACTCACCCGACCAGTGGTGTATTCCGTAGCGGTTTCGGCGGGGAGGACAACCTCGGCACTCGGGGAGTGACGATGAGGCCGCCGAGGACGCGGCCTCTCAATTATAATGAACGCTCTACCGCCGAATTGCGCCGAAATCCGTCGCTCTCATCGCCTGACGAGTGCGCTCGCGCCTGCCGTGAGAACGAGCCCCCCAGAATATGCTATTATCACTTTACACTCGAGCATTACACCGTACTCGGCGCGTAAGTACATTTCTACGAAGTATTTTCGATTAACTTTTAACGATAGAAGCTGTAAAGCGACTAAAAAAAAATGTTATATTATTTTATATTTATAATTTTTTATATTTATATGATATTACTTTATTTAATAATTATTTTATTTACATAATTACTTTATCATTTTATTTAGTAATATTAATTTTGTTTTTATGTATGGTCCGCAAGCAAATTATAATTTATAATTTTTACACAAATAATCTTTCTCCAGAAACATAGATTTTTTTTAAATAGTATTAATTTTTATTGACAAAAATATTGTTGAAAACTGAGCTGCTCTATATGTCTATAGAGTTTCAATTTTTTTTAGGATATATGTATTGCTTAACTTTTTTAACTAGTATTGTGTAAACATGAATTTTCAGAGCGTGTCAAGTATGCACGCCGAACGCTACCAACTCCGTGTGGAGCGAGTGTCAGTGTGTCTTGGCGGACGGAGTGGAACGAGGTATCTTAACCACGAACAGGATGATCCCTGGACCGAGCATTCAGGTGTGTCAGGGTGACAAAGTCGTTATTGACGTAGAAAATCGTATAGAAGGAATGGAAGTCACGATTCACTGGCATGGCGTATGGCAAAGAGGATCTCAATATTACGATGGTGTACCTTTCGTGACGCAGTGTCCTATTCAATTGGGTAATACGTTCAGGTACGTAATCTTACTTTTAGCAAATATATATATTTTTTATAACAAATTTATATCGTTTATTGAAGAAAAACTGTGTAATTTTTAATTATTTGCTGATATAGCATGTAATTTTTTTTATTTTTGTAGATTATCTATCACCGTTTTAAAACATTTTATTAAATTTTTCATAATTCGAAGAAACTGAGAATTTTACTTGATATTTTAAAAAAAGACGTCCAAAGATTTAAAAAGCTTACATCATTTTAAAATGATATATAATGATTATTATCGAAGAAATGTCTTCATAAATGCTTTTCAAAATTTGAATTAAGCTTCATAAATATACAACATACACATTTCTTAACATATGTATATATTGTAAACTTTACATGAAAATTTTATGATTCATAAAATAAAATAAAATAATTATGTGGCATATGAAGGTATCAATGGACAGCCGGAAATGAGGGTACACACTTCTGGCATGCTCACACTGGCATGCAAAAAATAGATGGTGTCTACGGAAGCGTAATAATCCGACAGCCACCGAGCAAGGATCCCAACAGCAATCTGTACGATTACGATTTAACCACGCACGTAGTACTCATCAGTGACTGGTTCCACGAGAGCGCTATCGAACGTTTCCCTGGTCGCCTTGCAGTCAACGTTGGTCAAGCACCAGAAAGCGCGCTGATCAACGGGAAAGGTCAATTTAGGGTACGTTACTTATGGATATTAATTGATACTGAACAGAGAACAATATTATCTAACATTATTAGATAAGCAGATTTTAATTTACAATTTATGACACAATTTTTTTCCAAACAGATTTATATTTCTGAATATAAATTGCGAATAAAATTTACGATTTTTTAAACATTTCATGCAACGTGTAAATTATTGTTAAAAAATGAATTTATATTATAATCATTAAACGGATATTTTTTATTTTCTAATATTTTGTTGCATTAACAGCTTGTATTTTTTTATTGCAGGATCCTAATACCGGTTTCATGACAAATACGCCTCTCGAAGTGTTCACGATAACTCCAGGCCGTCGTTACCGATTCCGATTGATTAATTCCTACGGATCAGTATGTCCCTCCCAAATTACAGTCGAGGGTCACACTCTCACTATTATCGCCACCGATGGTGAAGCAGTGCAGCCAGTACAAGTGAATACCATAATTTCATTCTCAGGTAAAGCAACTAATCCAAAGTCATTAAAATTTTTTTATTAAAATTAAGCAATTATTGAATAAATTATTTATGAAACAAGGCAAGCAGAAAAATTACTATTAAAAAGATGATTAATTTTTTTATATATTAGAACAATTATAGATAAAAAAATATATATATATATAACTAAAGCGTGCTGAAGCATGTTGTAAATACATGAACTTAATAAGTTAAAATGTCATTTGGCAAATAATTAATTCAGTTAAATGCTTGATTTAAATAATGATATTGAGGAAAATTATTTGTATGATAGATTTGATTGAACACAATCAGCGCCTTAATAGTGCGTTCTTCTCAAGACTGATTAAAAGTTGATTCCATTGTCAATCCTGCACCAAGTGGCATATACAGTTGTACTCTCTCTTAGGTGAACGTTACGATTTCGTCATAAATGCCGATCAGCCTGTCGGCGCTTATTGGATTCAACTTCGTTCTCTTGGAGAATGCGGAATTCAACGAGCGCAGCAGCTGGGTATTCTGCGATATGCTCGTGGTCCTTATCAACCATCTACTCTACCGCCTACGTATGACTTTGGTCTTCCTCAGGGCGTTGTAAGTATATTTATTTCCTATATTAAGAAATCAAAGATATACGTATCATATAGCTCTTCGTTTGACGTAAAGACAAAATTAAATTTTTCTCATAAAATTAAAATACATCCAATGATCCAATTTCTGTGATCTTATGAAATTTTTTCTCAGTATGCACTGCCATCTGTGCGAATGAGACAAGTGAAGAAACGCTACATAGATCATAAAAATAAACTATAATTTTTTATTTAAATTTAAATTCTACAATATAATATCTGTACGTTTCAACTAAGACATCAATTTTAATGTGACTTGTATATATTAACGAAACGTAACAGAGATAGATTTGAACATTATCCTCAAACGATACAATAGAGAGCTTCCTAATCTATATCAGTTATAGAAGAAAAGATGTTCGTAAAATATTTAAAAATATTACGCAAAATATTAAGTATAGAAGAAAAATTCTGATAAATTGAAATTGAATTGAAATCCCTTCAAATTCAAAATTTTTTTATTTAAAAAAAAATCTGTCGAATGGTTATAAATTATAATTCAGAAATACATTTTTGAAAGGATTAATGCGACTATATTACAAGTGAGGAAGTAATATGCTTTTATATTGCATAGAATACGCTTCGTGTTAGATATTAAGTGTGAAAAAATTAATTGTATACGATGTGTGCTTACTACAACACAATTTTTAATTGTTAGAAGTTATAGACTTAAGAATGTCTTTTAATAAATTAATAAAGATCAAGGCGCAAGGAACGAACCTTCAAGCATCTTTTCTCTTCAGGTCCTAAATCCTCTGGATGCCATTTGCAACCGACCGCGCGAGGATGCGATTTGCGTGAGCCAACTGAAGAACGCTCGCCACATCGATGAGGGTATTCTGCAGCAACGCCCTGACGTGAAGATCTTCCTGCCGTTCCGCTTCCTGTTGTACAGACCAGAAGAGGTCTTCCAGCCGCAGACCTACAATCGCTTCCTCGGTAAGAAAGCGCTAATAACTATCTTAATTCGCAAAAAGGAAGCAAACGCATCACGCGATGATTGCGTATGATTTTGGCGTAGACGCTGCATTTTCTTAGGCTTTCTTAGAAATATGTGCCTCTTTGAAAAGGGATACAATTTAGGTACGCGTTGCATGCAACACCATGCGATCCCTAAAGCTACAAAAATTACGCGAGGTATTTCGCTAGGTACTTCACAAAATACATTTGCTATGGCGGTATTTTTTTTTCGAGGCTTGATAATATAACAAACTGAATAAAGCACAAATCATTCGTTTGTAATATTGAAACGGAATTAAACGTACAGAGTGTTTCGGAACCATCGTTGCGTTTTCCAATTGCATATATTTTAATTCATTTGAGGTTTTAAAGTTTTTTAAACAAAAATATACATATAACTTTTTATAACATTTTACACGATTTTTAAGCTCTTTCTTCATATACGAGAAACGATTTACTGTATAATTCCGATATGTCCGCAGTTGCGCCAACCGGTGACCACGTGATTTCCCTCGTGGATGAGATCTCGTTCACGTTCCCGCCATCGCCTCCAATCTCGCAGCTCGAGGACATCCCACCTGAACAATTCTGTAACGGTGATAATAGACCAGCTGATTGCGGCGCCAACTGTATGTGTACACATCAGGTCGACATTCCATATAACGCGGTCGTCGAGGTGGTTCTCGTAGACGAAGGTATGCACACCGCATTCACTATGATTATACTAGCTGTCTTCAGACAGACTATTCCTGTATTGAATAAAAAGATGCACTTCAAAGAAATTGCGTTAAAAAGGAGCGCAAAATTTTCAAATCTTATATTTTTGATTCTATAATTTCTTTTTTATTACAACACAATTTTTTGATCGCAAAACAAATTTGTTTTCATTAATCTTATGAAGCTACGTAATTTTTTTTAAGCCTTTGTGTATGATTGATTACAGTACAACAACCCAACCTGTCGCATCCATTCCACTTGCACGGATACGCGTTCAACGTAGTCGGTATCGGCCGTTCTCCCGATAGGAACGTGAAGAAAATCAATTTGAAGCACGCCCTCGATCTCGATAAGAAAGGTCTCCTGCACAGAGAGTTCAACCTGCCCCCCGCTAAAGACACCATCGCTGTTCCCAACAACGGTTACGTCATCTTCCGCTTCCGCGCGGACAATCCGGGTAAGTTAACAAGGACAATTGAAAACTTCTCGCGCGATAGTCCGATGAGATGCAAAGCGGCTTCCGTTCGTAGCTGCTCGCATAATTGCGAAAGTTTGCACGGCAGTCACGGCACATTTGCATGCACTGACCTACCTTTGTTGTGCGTTTTGTACAACTATACTCTAAAATATCCGGTCAACTTCGTACGTAGCGATTTTAGAAATAATTTTTCGCAAATAAACATTTAGTTGGGTAATAAAAGCTATTAGCAGAACTATTTTTGTTATAAAAATTAATTTCATATTAATGAAATAAGTTTGTGGTATTTGAAATAACTTATATCGCATAATAAAATATTAAGATTTATACTAAACAAAATTATTCCCACACACTTGTTAAACCAATACAAGATTAATCTTGTATTTGCTTCACAAGCATGATATTAATATCATTTTATGATATTAACCATAACATTAATAATTATTAATTATAATAAATTTAATTAGAATTATAATAAATTTTAAATTACAATCATTATAATTCAAACTTCTAACGATAAAATCAATAAGTATTGTTGCTAAATTATGAACATCTACTAAAAAGGAGCTACTATTACTTTGATTATAAATTTTACCACCACAGGCTATTGCGGTGTAAAATAGTCGTCATAATCAACGTCAATTATTATTTTAATATTATAAGCAGAAATTAACGCCGAGCTTTTTTATAGGATACTGGCTGTTCCATTGCCACTTCTTGTTCCACATACTGATCGGCATGAATCTGATCCTGCACGTCGGGACGCAGGCGGATCTGCCGCCAATACCGCCGAACTTCCCGACCTGCGGTGACCATTTGCCACCCATCACGCCACCGCTGTCGCTGAACGCGTTGAACCCGTTCCTCCATTAATGTGTGAACGACGAGCTCAGAAACTGAGAGAGGGAGAGACGCTCCAAAGTCCATACGATACTTGTAGCATATTTCTGTAAAGTAGAGAGCCTGTAATATTGATTTTTTTTTTTCAACTATGCAACCTCGTAAACCGTTCTCGAGAGCGTGCTCTCAGCTCGAGAACGGCGATCGATCGAGCGAGGAATCCGACGGATGTCGATCCGCTGTCTCGCGAGAGTGGCTATATAAGAGCGTGAAAGACGATGGAGAGGAAAGTCAGATGTTGAGGAGACTCGCGAGGCAACGGGTTAATAAAAGGCGATCGGCGCCCCGCTGGGCATCGCGAAACGATGAACATTCTCAGAGGTAACAATAACTTTAACGTTGAGAGATAATGTTGGCGGCAGTTGATAATTTATTGTGTTACAGATGCTTCACCCATCACTGTTATTTATGCTATGTCTATTACGCGTCATCCTTGCTTGTCACTCACTGCCGTTTATAATTCACGATTCTAAAATTTAGTTGTCACCATCAATTTCACTGTAAAACATGTCGTGGAAAATATTTTGGGCATGTCTTCTAGAAATATTCGAAAAATATCTACAGGATGTGTAAGGCTTATATCCGTAACTGCAATGGCGAATCCGCGAATGCCGATGTGGCGAGTGAAGCATCTCAGCGGGAAACGTACAAACGTTACTGGCTAACGTTTGTAACGCTCTGTAAATAATGTAGAAATAGTCACTATACTTAACGAGATATTAATGTGGGAGTAACGGGGTTACGTAGCGTAAGAGGGGCATCGCCGAGAAGCCGTGATGGCGGTCCAGGCGGAAAATTATCGTTAGGATAAATGCCCTTCCAACAGGCTGGATCTGTACGATCACGGAATCCGCGACTTATCAAAATTATTTAAGGACCCTGCTATATCAACTTTGAAACGATTACTTACAAAGATATAAATTATCTTTCATTTGTGAAGCATAATATTTATTTAAGCTTACAACGATAACTCTAAATATTAACTGTAAATTGTTTGACTTTATTTTCGTTGATCAATCTATTATTTTAATCATCTTTGTGACTACATTTTGTCGTACGCTTCACGTTGTTTGTCGTTTAAAGCCGGAGAGAAAATAATAACGAGATATAATAATTTTGTGACGATGTATCATGCGATTAATCGTGACTACAAATGGTGACGAGTTTCCCTCGACAGATCCAGGCTCCTAAAAGTCTTTTAGTTAGGAAGTGAATTCGCGCTTATGCCCGAAATTGCGCGTTTCGTCATTGTTCTGTCAGTCTATAAAATTAAATCGATGAAAGTATTAGTGTAATATCGGCGCGGCTATCTTAAATTTTACGTAAAAACCTCGAGTATGTCGTATCAAGGTCCAAATTGCGATGTTAATGACTATCGTTCTTCTCGAGGCTACATCAGCGAGGTTATATCAATACATTAATATTTATTTTTTTTACACCTACCATTTGCATTACCTTTCGAAATTCGGCGATATTCCAAATTGATCTGTCGCGAAGACACAGAGATGCAGGCTGACACGTTATCATTAGTATATCGCGCTACGCATATGGCGCAATAATAGCTGTACGTTTATTCATGGTGCCTCAATTTTCTATAGAAAATACATTTATACGCAACTCACAATTAACGCTTAAATCGTTCGGTCATATACAGAAACACTACTCTTAGATACGCGAGGTAATCGCACGCGCGCATGTATGTCGTGCCTTATACGTGTAGATAAAATTTAATTCCCTGGTACATTTCTAAATATACGCTAAATACATTCGTTAGAATCGCCGAGAGACAAAACACTTAATAGCGTAATCGTGAAACGTACTTAACATGTCGGCTTGATGCAAAAGGAATGTAGCGTAAAACCGAATTTTTCAGTTGGTATTACCAAGCCAAGGGAAAGAATAAGAAAATCCATTTTCCCAACTATCATAAAAATAAAAGAAAGTTAAAAAGGTAATTTAACATAGCCATTTTTAACATAGAGATATTTTTTCATAAACCGTTAGTTTTAAGGCTTAAAGTAAATTAAAAAAAAAAACGTTATTTTACATAGCACAAGTCTCCTCGTTAACGCGAAAAAAATACCAACTGAAAAATCATCTTTTTTTTTTAAATCGTAATCCTTTTGCATTGAACTATCAAGTTGTGCGGAGTGTCCGGTGTTGTTGCTTTCTCGAGTCGGCCGTTCGCTTTCTCGCCTCGGCAAAGGAGAACGTTCCTGGGATTAAGAAGCACGATTTAGAGACCGTGCAAAAGCCAATGCGAATCTGCGATGTGAGAGCGAAAGGATGTATTTTTTTTATACTATCAATCGAGTCGGTCGGCTTCGGAGACTGTGACAGTATGTGTCAATCTATTTGAATAGACGCGGATAAAACGGTTTTGTGGGATAGCAAATATACGCTGTGTTTTTAAACCTGTTGTATAATCATTTTATTCTTAATAGGAAATAGCTCTTAAAAGAGATATCAAGGAGAAACGTACCTGCCGTTTAATTAAATGTATTACGAGCACGTTGATTTTGCGTTTTCTCGTAAGCGAATCTAAAATTCAATGGCTCACTCATGGCGCAACGATGAACAAAGTGATTTCATCGTCGAACGATGAATCATGATTCATTATGCGCAAGCAATGAGGAATGCAATATACCTAAATCGAGCTAATCCATCTTCAGTACGGAGATAATCATAATATTCGTATTGTGTTACGTATTGTTAAGGTTAATCAGATTAATTGCAACGTCGATACATGGCAATTTTAATGATGAATCTGTTAATTATTATAATTGATTAGTAGATCTTATAAAATTGAATTACTAGACTAAAAAGGCTTGAAGACTAAAAGGCATTTAGACAATTATATTTAATATTCGGAAACGTCATGTATATCTCGGTATTAACGCTATGTTTGCACATCGCATTTTCAGAAAGTCACAAAGTACTAATCAAACTTTTGAGGGTAGCTAAATAACAATATATGTGACAATACTACTTTGTCTTACAAATTAAATGTTCATTTTTTAGACTGTGCAGTTCAAATATTTTTACTGCAGATAAATTCATGAAAGTTTCCTATGCGTCTTGAATAATTTTTCATTAATTTCGCTAAAACTTTTTCTTATCAACCATAGTCTTTGAAGATAAAAACAAACATTTTGTCTTAAGTATTCACGCAAATTGTCTAATTTGAGGATCTCTCCGATTTTATTAAAAGCTACAGTAAAAGAAATTAACTACAATTATTTTGATTAACTTTTCGAGCAGGTACAGCGATCGTTGTAAATATTGTAATACTGAAAATTTTACGGTATTCACATAGCTAGTAATATCAGTTCTCTCCCCTGTCCCCGTGTAATTATTCATGTAACTAAACCCGTATAAATATTGTCAGTTACCATCCGTAAGCATATGATTTTTCGTGTTTTATATGGAGTATTTAAACGAGAGTTATATTTGTGTAGGGGCGCATGCACAAGTCTACTGCTGCGGACCGTTCAATCGTATTTTATTCTATAATAAAAATGTATTTTTAATAATAAATCGTTTTTCAAAATACTATTTAATAATTTTTATATTTCCATTATAGACATGCCGACATTATTACTTTTCTTTAGAAGAAGAGAGGAGACTTCTAACAAATCTATTTCTCAATTTTTGCATAAAGACTAAGTTTTTATAGATATCCAACGTTAACTACTATACTTCGCCGAGTGGGTGTAATGAGCATATTTTGCAAAGAAAATGTGATGACTCTTACGTGATCATAGCCCGCCCACCTAGAAGGTCATAACAGAGTAACCGGATATGAAAGTAGAAAAAAAGATGTTCTGGCAAAACGAGAACACAAAAATGAGATGCGTTATTAGCATTAATAATATGGCCTCGGTGCTCTCATTCGGCGCATGTTACTGAAGCAACATTATTATTACATCCGCAAAAGTTATAATTTTATGCAAATACTGTACAAACTATGATTGTCGACTACATCGTGGAAAGAAATACATAAATTCGAACGTGACTAGCTAGTAGAGAAAATGTATTAGAGAGACCATTGCGGTTATTAATAAAAAAAATTATTCTAAATATTTTATAAATACGATATAATATTTTATAAATACGATATATAAACAATGGCTGCATAAAATTTGGATTTAGTTGGATATTATATAAACTAAGTGGGAAGCAACGATGTTTTCTCTAGGAAAGAAATTTTCCACTATAATTGATACGTTTCGCATAATTTCGGATTACCGATGGTATTTGCCGATAGAAATAAAAGACACGTGTGTTTTTAGATTAATGAATTTATGTACAAAAAGCATTTATATCTAATATATCTTATTTAAGATCAATGCACAGTTTTGTAAATTCTAGTGTCTATGCTTATGACTATTATATTATGATACATACGCAGTCTAAAGCACGAGAATCATTTCGCGAATGATAAAGCTAAATATAAAAATACCAATGTGTGAATACGTATCGTTTTATATCGTGCTTATCCGTAGGAAAATTTATCTCATTAATATATATACTTAATCCGCGTTTCCCGAATCTATCATGGTGTTTATTGTCGTTGATATTATTAACAAGTGCAAAAGTATAAAAAAGGTCTCCGTGAGAAAAACGGTGAAACACGCATAATACTCGACATTATACAAATTCCATCATTCGCCGCAAAATATTTTCAAATTGTTGAAAGAGAATTGACGATAATTGTGTGATATTGAACTTGATCTATTAACATTTTCTTAACCGTTATTATTATTAATTTATTATATCTTAATGTTAAAAAGCAACAGTTTTCTTTTTATTATATTATCTCAAGTACGGCAAATGTAGCAAGTTGACTTTTAGCCACAAAGCGGTAAATGGCGTAAGTCAATCCTTCGAATAATCCTTTGTAATCAAAAAGGTTAACACATTGTTTAATATTGTTCAATACTCTTTATACCTCTTATGTAATATTTTAAATTCTTCTAAGGTTGCATCGGCAGTTTTATGGTTGAACCGAATGCCTGTCACTCGTGCGGTTGGGATAATGCCATAGCGACGCATATACATAAAATTTGTGTTTTAATTGGAGTAACGTTAAAAAAAAACAATGGAGTTCTAGTTTTTTTGATAAATGAAGCTAACGGAAACGTCACTTTCCGGAGTAGTGCGAACCGATGTTGGATGGCGGCCCTCTGTGATGATGATGATGCTTCTGTCCAGGACCGGAGTATCTACTTCCTGGTCGGGAGTGCACTATCGCGTAGTGATCGCTATTCGTCGATATCGACCTCGTGGAGTTCATGGTGGATCCCCCGGAGGCGTATCCTTGCTTTCCGTTTAACGAATACCTGAACACAAGAAGGGGTCTCGTTCAAGGCACGCCATCGCATGATGTCATGATGTGTAATGTGAAATATTAATTGCCGTTATCGTGACTCTGCGATGTTAAATACTACTTTACTTAGAAAGGTCACGATCAATTTCCGAGAGCAATTTATGCGTAAGATTCTTTGATCGTACATCTTCAGATTGTCGAATTTTTTATAATCAATTATTTCAAAATTATATACATACACATATATGTATCAATTAATTCGCAATCTGACGGCAATTTCATTAACTTATTAATAATCGATTCGAGCCACTTAAGTAAGCATCGCACGGTGGATGCCGTACGGTTATACGTAATCATATATTATTGGCGCAATTAATAGAGATACTTTGTCGGCAAGTCACGCGATTCGCTTTTAGATAGGTAATTAAGTCAAACCTCGACCCGTATTGAGAACCGTGCCAGCTGCGGTACGGATCGTAATCCTCAATGATTGACGGCTCCTTCTCGATAATGTCGGTCCGGGTGCAGCTACAGGTCATCGCCGAACACAGGAATATGTTGATAATGAGCATGATGAGGAATAATATCCCGAGTGCCACCGCCAGCCACAGAAGCCACAGCGGGTGCACGCTGCCGTCGTCGTACAATGTTTGTACAACTGAGAATGTGAAGAAACTACTATGTAATTTTCGTATCGTGATACAGGCATTCGTGTATTTGTAAGTTTGTACGTGCGTTGTAATGGAAACACCATTAATTACAGTATTAGTGTACAAGTTGCATTTGTTCAAATAGCAATTTAATGAAAGAGAAGTTATATGTAAGTATTAAAATATATAAACGTGTGTGATGCAATAATTTTTCAACGATAAATTTCACTTTTGACAATGTCTTTTAACTCTAATTTGTTTTAAGGATTTTAATACTATTACTTTTATCTCTCTTGTTGAAAATTACATTATTTTATTTTACACGGGATCTACCGAGATAAGAAAATATTCAGTTTATTTCTATAAAATAGTATAATTAATTTAACGACATAAATTCACGAGGATATCCTTGACGACCGGTTGTGGAAATTATAGCGTGGGATTGTATGCCGGATGGACTGACGAAAAAGTCCAGAAGTGTGATAAGCGGAATGAGATCACTTATGCCAGCTTGAGTACACATTATAATTTGATGACAGCCCCTGGCAAGTTGCGTGTCGAAGCGATTCAAATGCAGGTCAGAATAACGAAGAGATACGACAGGCGACCATTTCGCGATGCACGGGAAGAAGACGTAAATGGGACATATACGCAAGAGAAGCAATAAGGGAGCAAAGAGAAAAGAAGACCGCACACACATTCCAGACTACATACTATGGCAACATACTTTTCAAGTCACGACAGCTTATCAAAATTAACTGCCGAGAAAAGCAGATGCTGTAAAAAACTATGCGGACGTTAATTTAGTCATTTTCATTGATCACTTTATCAAATTGTGATAGAGAGAGATACTTTGCATATTTAAATCAAACGGATTTTCGATTAGAAAAGCGCAACTTCTCTTAAAAAATAATTAAAAGTTTACTTTCACTTTGTACTTTCTAAATAATTGCTAAGTTCTAAATAATTGCGAGTTGCTAAGTATTTCTTCGTTGTGTTGTAAAATGTACTTTTGTAATATATCGTGTACTGTGTATTGTTATCAACTTTTTATTAGTATTGATAAAGAACTTTCTTTAAGACGAGAAAAAAAAGACAGTAGAAAATCAAAGTCATTACGAGTCTACAAGAAAAAGACGAATCAAGAATTTTATGAATTGGAAATTGACTCTTTATTTTCCTTTATAAGATGAAGAAGAATAGATAGAATGACGTATTAAGAATAATGATAATAATATATATAATAGTGACAAAAACAGTTATAATTCGTCGACAGTGGACTTGGCTTACCTCGTTTTTCGCCTGGTTGGAGAACAAAAACGCTCGTTCCGGCAAGTAGCACTCCTTCTTCACTACTAACACTTTGTCCGTTAGTGGAGGAGCCACCCTTTACCAACTCTTCTTTGTCTCCTTCGCATACGGGAGTACCGCAGCTTCCTAAGCACGCCAATTTTAGTTCCGTTATCGCAACGAAAAATGTTCTATTCAAGTTTTTATATACTCGATTAATTATAAAGTAATTATATGTTGGAAACACGTCATGTTAATTCACGAAAGTATTAATAATTTATGAAAAACAAGAAAAATGAGAGCAGCAGTGATTAACCTTCCTATACCCGCGCATTGATCTGTCAGACCGACGATATACGTTTGCCTTGTTTTTTTTTAAATGGAAAACAAGGCGAACGTATATCGTCGGTCTGACAGACCAATGCGCGGGTATAGGAAGATTAAAAGACAATATTGTGCTTTTAAAATAGTACTCTGCACACGCAATTTTATATCTAATATGACAGTGAAACTAAATCAGCATGAAGCTGATTGTTAAAACTTTTATTCTAAAAGGATCGTAACTTTTACGATTTGGATTGTAAAAAGCAATTCCTCATAAAATGAACGAGAATCGCTATCTGCCGTATAATGTCGCAACAAAACAACGAGTCGTAAAAGTTGAATGCCATTTTATAACCTACATTCGTAACGAGATGCTAATGGGAAATCATTCACCGGATGAGTTTTACCTCTGCACACGGCGATGTCGCATTGGAAATGCACCTCTGAACTGTCAGCAAACCGGAACATGGAAAACAATGTGGCATCCGCTATACCGGTGCTTCGATCGTATATGAATTTCGTCATTCGCACTTTCACGGGACAGCTTTGCAAATCAAAATAAATCACAATTAGTGGATCATTTCCATTGTCAAAGCGACTATGGAGTACAATAATAGTAAACTGCGCGTCTTCTTTTATAATCATATATATCTGGATAAATCTTTTTGATCCATCAAAATAAAGTTAAGATTAATTTAAACTTCTCTTAGCTTAACGCTTTGCTCCCAAAAAGTTACGTTAATTAGAACCTTCAACAAAGAATGAAACTTATAATAAACAGAAACTTTCTCGTTTTGCGTATAATAAAGAACTTGGCAATACAAGTTTTAATGAAAATGTATTTAATATAAAACTTTTATAGGAAATTATTCACTTTTATCGTCATATCAACTTGAAAATAAATTGTTAATAAATCGTAGAATCTATGTTGGTAATAGATAGTTAATAATAAATAGCATTGATAGAGAATAAAAATATTTAACAAACTACATCACATAAAGTACACGAATACCTTTGTATTTCAACTATAACATTTAAACACTTAATACATCTATTTATAGCGTACATAAATGTTTACAAGATTGATAAATATTAAATTTGTTAATATAAATCTTAATTCAAATCGTATCAATTTATCCAATTTATCCAATTTATGTCAAAGTAATGATCTTACCCTTTGTCGTCTATAAGTTGCACGCTGGAATTGAGCTTGTTGAAGGCGAAGCAGTTCTTGACTCGAATCCCGTACATTCCTACAAATTGAATGTTCAACGAATCAGTTGAACGGCAAGATCTCACGAAGAAACCGCGGCTAACGGACTTGTCCGTATCGTCCGGACGTAAAAGCAAACGACGGAATGGGATATAAGATACGAACCGTCTGGGCGTGAAATCTCGGCACGCAGAGTATAGTTGTGACCGTATATAGCTTCTTGCACTCTCACACCTTCGTCCAAAAGGCGCAAGGAAACCAACGAAGTTTCATTTCTGCGTGCAAAAAGCGTTGTTTTGTGAGTACGCATTTCTTTTCTTTTGCAGCACGTTTTATCATTGGAAATGATACGTGATGCAAGTTTAATCGAGGTTACGATCGAAGTGAATGGATAAATGTGTAAAAAAAAAACATGTCAACAAGTCAATACATCTGACGATACACGCGTGTGATAAGAAAACCAACGAGTCGCGCAGGATCATGTGTATCGACTTCCAAAGTGCCTTGAACCAAGAAAATTTATTCAGAAGGTATATGATGTTACTCCGACAAAGAAGCTACTTGTCATTTGCGGGATACCCCCATTTGACAACAGTCGCATACCAATTGTCATCCGCATTTTTCGTTGCAGAATAAAAAAAAGACTTGCGGTAAACCGCAGCGTCGCAAGCATGTTAATTACTGATTCGTCACTCCACTTATCTAATTCCCGGATGCCTAATTAAATTTTATTACCGCCCGGGCAGCTTTTTCGCCGACCAGCGTGTAATTAAACGACAATATTTTAATATGCGTAAAATTATCTTTTCTTTTACTCTTAAAATGACCGTTTAATACTTATCAACCGCGTTTGGTGTTTTGAGCCAAAAAGACGTTTCGTAATATTATCTTCGTATACTAAATATTAAATTAAATTTTATTTTATTTATCGTTAGTTATTATATTGGTATTGCAGAACATTAATATTTTCTAAGAAAATGTTCAACTGTTTAAAACTTGTGGTATTCGGAGTCGTGCGAGGTATTGACTCTCTAAATTGATCACTCTTGTAAGTTGAAGTATTTCTGTGTACGATCAACGTGCTGCGAAAGCGGAAATGCATGGCTAAGTGGTGCCGAATAGCAAATATCAACGATCGATTAGAAAACACGGAGCCTCTAATGACCGATTAAAAGCCTCGCGAATAGTATTTCCCGTTTAGATAGCGCTTTTCACGCGTGTCAAGCAGCCAATGGTGCAAGATATTTCTATTTCTCGTCCGTTTGAAAAACCCTATGATAGACTGATTATTATTTACGCTGGCACTGCGAGAGTTCATAAATAAGGTAAACTCAGGTATAGCATCAATAGTTGGTTCCGTCATTCTGACAATTTACTGGCATTTACTTATATTGAAACTACAAGCAAACCGTCTAATGATAAATATACACGAATTACAGAGAATAATTGCAAAGATTTATTTTGCTATAACGTATTATTTATAGTTTGTGTATTATTATATCGTGTATTATTGTATAATTAATCTTCAACTTACTTGGCATTTTTGAAGCCCGCTTTTCCGCACGTAATGACATAAAACTTGTCGTCCGCTAGCTCCAGCGTTTTGTGTATCCTAACGGCGATAGGAATGGAACGTTCTTCCGTGTGCTGTAATATACATTGCCATATTTAAATGTAAAGAATAATAGAACATAGTACAATCCAGCATGCCGCTTATTACGCTTATTTCCCACTTAAAATACCAATTTCGGTTTCTGAGTAATATTAATAAAATGAAAACTTTTTGTGAATTATGTGTGTATGTGAAAATTTTATGTGTGATTTTTAGATGAGAAGACTTTAAGTCTTCGGTCGCAAGGCGTTACACTTGCAGAACAAATAATACCTCAGCGAAAAGAGAGGGATTCAAATGCAAATCGTATAATCTCCATATATGACGGATTCTCACGTTATTCTCGAGGTGTCTTCAGTGGCCGAGTATGTAAATCAGCGTTAACCGTAACCTTCTCAAAACAATTAATTTTCTGGAACTTCTCATGTAAATAGACGCGAATACTAATTTCTCCGCATCATCGCGAAACGTGTAAAACGTAAATTCCCCTTGAGCGGCGGAACATCTTTTTTTTCACACGCGTGGCAAAGCTACTCGTGTAATGAGTTGATTTCTTGAAATTACACTTAAGGCTCGTAGTGCACATAGTATAGGATAAAATAGTCAAACAAATTATCCGCGAATCGTAGAAGTAACCGATGCTAGTTCTTGCGGCTGCGATTCCATCGCCGTTGGCGCGCGCGTACCACGATTTCCATAATCATAGCGAAGACTCACGTTGTTCACGAGGACTCCGCAGTACTCGGGACTGTCCTGAGACGCGAACAGATTGATACCCAGGGTAGCGTGCGTAGTGCCATTGCCCGATACCATGCACTGCGGGGTACGATGGTCCCGCGCATGGACCGCACCTACGAAACTCTGATTGAGATTCACGCGAATCGTCATGTAGCCGCCCTTGCACGTCGCCGTCACCGTCGGCTGAAACTCCGTGTCCAATAATTGTCCGGCGACCTGCAATCAGAACGAGAACGGGAATTAGACCCAGTGCAGCGCTCGCGGAGCCCCCCGAACGAGCGTATAGGCAATTATCGCATTCTAGAGCAAAAGAGCACTCCTCGCAACGCGGTCGTGGAATTTCCTCGACACGTCCTCCGCGTTAACGATTCGCGCCTAAGGAACATCATCGCCAAGAGACCGCTCTTTCCACCTTCGTAAATATTTAAATCAGAGTCAGTACTGTGCCAACAGCAGCATCGGCACTAACTAACTCCGCCCGGCGATTGCCATTCCAGATCACGGCCCATAACTATGATGCCGATTGCCGTGGGAGAGACGGTTTCAAGAGTTGACAGCTAACCGGGTCTTTTAACGTGTCAACGTGGACGTAAAAATATATATAGCACCCAAACAAACTTCAACAGAACCATACGCTCTCCATTACGAAGGTAAAACCTGTCGGAATTCGCCTGTCATTTTTGCCGTCGCGAAATGCCATTTGCAACGGGGCGTTTAGTCAGGTTCTCTTAACTCGCCGTTCTTTTTTTCCGCGAAAACCGCATAAATACGTGAATTCCCCCTTTACTTCGAGTCGCGCTATATCGATCGCGAAACGAAGCGAGGAGCAGGTATTTGCATTCTTTGTAACGCTGTTTGCCAGGCTTGTTTTCGCGCGATATCGGGCCGTGCGAGAGTTGGCGAGACTCGGAGCGATCTCCACCCCCGTTACTACTCCCGCTAAGGAACACTCGACGAACGCGCACAGGCCAATGATATTTCCTCGGGCCGGATCACCGACTTAATGTACGAGTAAACTTAGACCGGTCTGGGCGGTAGCTATCGGCCCACGCTAACTTTCAATTTCATGCGGCTGGACCGCTTTGTAACGCGGATAACGCGCGTTCGTACGCTGTCAGGGACGCGCGATGAGAGACGTATATCCATGACACAATCTTGATATTAATCTCGAATTGATACACATCGCCGAGTGGATGTAGATATGACTATTACGGCGTAATGAAAGTGATGACATTACATTGATTTCATGACCAATTTTTGTGTTTATAATTAACAGTTCGCCGTCGATTACATAACATTTTTGCAACAATTAAGACATTGATATTTATCAAAATATTCGATACTAAAAGTTGAATTTAAGGTTTCTAAATTGGACTTCCAGATTGTAAGCGACAGCGTACCTATAATAAATTTTATTGTTATTAAATTATTAAATATTGTCTTATTGTACGAATTATTAAGAATTTAGGTTAATAAAAAATGTTTCAAAAATTTGATCTCAAAATTGTTGATCTTGAAAAGTCTTCTGCAAATTAATTATATTAACGTATTTCTCGCATTAAATGTACTATAGCCAGCACAATTCTACCATCTCTAGCAACATCGCCCGGGGCACGAGAGCCAAGACAAAGATCCGCGTGTAAGCGTTCGGCAAGGACACGACGAGTCCTAAATGCTCCGACGTTATTCGAGGAAGAGGCTCTCGCAACAGTCGTTAGTCTCTCGTTCGCGAGCGAACTGCTCGCCGAAGAAGAAAGGCGGCTTAGCGGTCCTCGATTAGTGGCGGATGCTTTGTCTACGTGTGCGATGACAGGTATACGATAGCGAACGGAGAGAATCGTGGTCGCCGTTGGGCCCGTTGGGCAAGACCTTGCGAGCCATATCCTGTGGCGGTCCACAACGTATGACATTATGCGCGTATAATTTAATAGCGTTCATTGTTGCTCGAAAGCTTGTTCGTCTCGAACGGAAATTGTACGACTGTTATGCGGTATCTCCAAGTGCGTAGCGTTTACGTAAAGATGTATCTTTCAACTCGCGCGTATTAATAGCGTGTACTGCTCAAGTGAATATGAAAGGCCAATACGGAGTTGTAACGCGTGAACGACCGATATATCAATGATCAGATTATTACACAAAATGTTCATCTTCCTATTTATCTTCCAGCGTTGTATTAATGAATGGAACTTATAAATAACACTATATAAATAATAATTATCATTAACACTAGACTTAATTTATGGAAATCATATTTAAAAAATGTACGTATCATTTTTATTCAAAAATTTATTTTTTAAATAATTTACTTCTATTTAGGAACAATAATTTAAATTATGTTACATCTTATGCAAAAATTAAATTTTAATGTAATAAGAATAGAAAAAATAATATATTATTATAAACAAAGCTACTTTAGATTACGTCTTCAGAAACTTTTTATGGCATAGGATAAATATTTTGTAATCTACAACATCTCAGATATCGTCATTATTTAACTCGAGTAATGTCGCGGAATAAAGCAGAGTATTCGAAATAAAATCTGAATTTAATATTCACATTAATATTGTAACGCTTCGAGAGCAACGGTAGCTTGAAATATGGCAATGGTTAAAACGTACAATGTATTCGTGTAATTCGCAACTTTGTTGCATGACATTTAATCGGCAAAATGTAGAACTGCGCGCTCGAACTTCCTGCAGAGTATCCATATCACGAACAATAAACATTCGCTCGCGATGGTGAATAAATAATTTAGTGCAATAATGTGCATTATGCACGGTTACATAAAGTTATAGTCGATGCAACGGCGCGCCGCGGTCGGAAACATCAGTTCCGCCTGTTAAACTAGACTCTTATCCTCTCCATCTCTGAAGTATTCTATATTATAAATATTATCGTGCATGCGCCAATTATTGTCCAGCGGCTAAACAGCTTAGCCTGGACACGCGGTAACCTTCCGTCATTTAATCGCCATCCATGCCAGCGGTCTTTCATAAAAATGCGAGGCATGAATGGATAAGCTTGAAATAACGTACAGAATGACATCATGTAATCGCAACGCGTACAATAGGAGACGGTACATTAGTTGACTTACCAGCGAGTCGGTCGGATAAAACGTACACGTCGGATTCCGCACGAAACTGGTCCGACAAAAATCGACGGCACGTGGAAATATCGCGAGGAATGCGAATGTCAGTGGCTCCCAATCTTTCGTAAGCAATTTATCATTCCGTTAAAGTCGCGGGGATATTTTAGGACGGACAATAATTGTACGGCAAAGAGAAATATCAAGGTTCGACGTGGAACAGGGAGGGGAACCCGGGGAGAGAGACGCTTATATAAAAATGTAGATTTTATTAATGAATTATTGCAAGCGCGTCGCGAGAACGAAGGTACCAACGCTTTTAAGATACACCCAACGACACCGTGGCGGCCGATCGCGATAAGCGCAGTGTTATACAACGCAAACAACCAACGAGGACGCGCGGGGGAACTCGTTTGGAACAACAATTGCGATCGGGCTAGCAATTAATAATTCGCCGGGAGGGTTGTGCGCGCAGGCGCTATCGCGTATCGACGCCGGGCGTGCAATAAATTGATAACTTTTTCACCGTGCGGCTCTAATGCCCGCGCGCAAAAATTCACGCGTGGATAACGGCAATGCATCAAGATTTAATCCCGGCCGCTCTCGTGGCCGCAATGTTTCAGCGCATTCCGAGCGCACACACCCAGTCGTCCCGGGTGCGCGCGAACCGCAGAAACAGGAACAGCAGGATCGTTTCTCTCCCCATCGGATTGGCAATCGGAGACTTTCGGCTGTCGGCGACGCGCGCGTGTCTTCCGATAAATAAGGCCCGAAACGTAACAAAATGTAAGGGACAAGGAGAAAGATATAACGAGTAAACGTCTGTGCTTCGCACAACACTGATACTTATTTGTAAATTTAATATACTCTGCATTATATACATTTCAGCATTTTTGGAAAAATTATGGATACAATAAGTTTAAAAAAGAAAGTTTAATAAAAATATAAAATCAAGTAATATAATTTTTATCATTGAGAAGAATCATTTCATTATTACATTAACCCTGGAGTCTCAATTATAACGCTTGACCGATTAGTAGTACAACAATAAAATAACTACAAGAAGCAATCAACCAGAGAACAGGTGCGAAGGATGAAACAAATAGATGCTGCGTGTCGGAGAGCGGTAGAAGATCCCGGTAATCCTGATAATACACAATACACAATCGGCTTAAAAAAAAAAAAAACTATAAAGCGTAATAAATTGTAAAGCTAAACAAATATCTTGTCGCAATATTTTAATTTCGTACAATGATATAAATTCCGTATTCTTCGGCTCCCATACAGTGTAACGTGTGCATATAATAGTCAGTACATAATATATAATAATCAGTATGGCCTTCGCAGATGTTCGTTTATACATTTTTCTCGCGTTCCCCGATACGTTTCTCCTCGCGATGAGTATCGCTGCTAATAAAGATAACTTCAATAAAGTATACGTTATCTCTTAATGAGCGCAGTTAATTACCATTAGAAACGTTGGATAATCGAATACGATAAACCACGCTGCAGCACTAACGTATGGCCTTTGTACTTTTAGAAATCATCTCAGTAGCGCGTTTTTGAGCGGCTCGTTTATTTTTTAAATCTCCTATTGATTAGCATTTTGTAACTGAGTACGATTTAAATTAGATTTAGTTGCTGATTAATAAATATCATCTGTTAATATCTTTTTTAAAGAAATTTTTGAATTTTTCTTTTAGCGCGGATTATATCTGCGTTCTAAAGGTCGTTCGCCCCTCAGCCACTCATTCGGACCGAGAGCTGGATAATAGATTCAGGGATTCGCCTCGCAACCAACTCAACGAGGGACAAGGGACGAGATGTAGGACAATACAACGAAAATGCAGATAGTTATCACCGGTCACGTTTAGCATTGAGCCGATCGAGCTTATCGGGGAGACCCCTGCGATTGTTTTACCCGCGAGGTAACGAGAATAGCAAACGAAAGCCGCATCGAATGGTATCGCGTGTGAGACGCAGCACGTGTGAGGTGCGGTGCGGTGCGAGTGAGGCTACAAAGGCACGAGGAAGTCACGTCCTCGAGGAACAATGCAGCCGCGTCACTCCCGCAAAACGCGAGAAATAGTATGGGTATCTACGTTACACAATTGTCTTCCCTGATTCAGCA